AACCATGTACATAATTGTTAAACTACTGTATATTACAACCTAGAACTAGGCTATATTAACCCAACTCAAAGTCCTGACATTTATTTGGCTGCCCTATTAGGTTTTATTAATGTATTAATTTTTGTTTTCTCACTTTTTTTTATTTTCTATTTACTTCTTTTTTTTTTCTTTTTCCTTCTTTATAAGAAAATGTCATCAGTTTGATGATATTCTATTGTAGAATGAAAATCTTGACATGGCGAGCAACATCCAGCCAAGAAATCCAGGGAAAAAAGTTCAGAGTAAGTTCTAAACCTATACAAATAGATGAATTATCTGATGCAAATCAAAAATTATTAGCAAGTAGCTTGACTTTGCCAACTTCAGCTGGAGTTAGCTCATCTAATACAACACATAATATAAGTATTGGTATTTTTATTGGTCTATTATTGGTGCAATTTTAGCTACAAAAAAGAGAAAAATCAACAAACAAAAAAAATCAATTTTTATGTTATAAATAAATTTTTTAATAAAACTATTTTTGTGTCTCAAGTGAAAATGATTCTAATTTTATTTTAAACTAAATTATGTAAAAAAATTAATTTTTAAAAATTTGTCAATGTCCTGAACGTATTCTTATTTATATTTTATAAATGGTATAATCGTAGGCGTATTAACAACAATGTTATTCCAACTCCAGGAGGTAGATAATTCTAAATTTATATTAACATGAAATAACGAATTACATTATTTTAGTTAAAAAATTACGATTTATTCATAATATCTTTATTAATGGGTGAAAAAATTTGGTTTAAACACTCCATTATAAAAGCATGATTCAGAACTTAATAGCTATATAATTTTCACACCCTCACCTTAACTAATTGATATATTTTGGTATTAATTTAGAATTTTGCATTAATTTTAGATTTATTTGAGATTTCAGAATTAGTTTAGGATTTTGGATATATATATATATATATATATATATATAATACTAATTCAAAACTAGCTAATACTATAATCAAACCTAAAGTGATTGGATTTAGACTAGCAAACTAACTCTTGTTACTATTTTTACCTCTCAAAAAAATGGATTCATAATTGGCGAGTATTACACTAATTCTAACCAAACAATCATAATAATAGATAAAGATATTTGTTATGTAAATATATATTTAATAAATAATCATTAAATTTCTATCAATCCTTTAGCAAGGGCGATTTCGGCATTCAAAATCCCACTTCCGGCCGCACCCAACACAGTATTATGCACTAACAAAGTAAATTTAATATCGAATACATTACATTTCCTAATTCTACCAACAGTAACACTATACCCATTACCATTATCTCTATCAAATCTTGGTTGTGGTCTATCTTGTTCATTTTGTACTAAAATCGGGTTTTCAGGCGCAGAATAACATCCAATTTGTTGTGCCTCTGATATATAGGAATCAAACGCTTGTATAATTTGTTCAGGTGAAGGTGGAGGTCGATTTTTAAATTTAACAGAAACACATTCCGTATGTCCATCAATTACAGGTACACGATTACAAGATGCAGATACTGACATTGAGGATAGTAATTGAAATCCTGTAGCTTCTTGATTTAAATCACCTAAAATTTTAAGTGTTTCATATTCCATTTTTTCTTCTTCTCCCGAAATGTAAGGAACTACATTATCGAAAATGTCAAGTGATGCGACACCAGGATATCCAGCTCCTGAAACTGCTTGCATTGTGTGAACAATTACAGATTCTATAGGACCAAATGAGTCCTGCAGAGGTTTTAAAGCAACAACAAGACCAGTTGTTGAACAATTGGCATTTGTAACAAGGAAACCTTTCTTAAGGGAATGGCATGAACGTTGATGAGGAATTAAGTTAAAGTGTGATGGGTTTACGGTTGGAACTATCAGAGGGACTAGTGGATCTCGGCGATAGTTTTTTGCATTAGAAAAAACCACCAGATCAGATTTTAGGAATGACATTTCTGAATAACATAATATAGAATAAAATTTTGATAAAGTTTTTCTTTGATGAAAAAAAAAAAAAGGTATAGATATATATATATAGAATTACACATTTATTTACCAATATCACCGGCAACATCGGAATCTAAACCTGAAAATATCACGTCACAATCTTTAAATAATTCTGGAATACATTCTTTAATAATCATATCTTTAATATCAGCAGCTATTGGACTAGTCATTCTCCATTTTGTCGCTTGACAGTATTTTTTACCCGCTGAACGTGAAGAGGCACCAACGCTATGAATGGTGAAATGAGGATGAACTGAAAGTAGAAGGATAAAACGTTGTCCTACTGTGCCTGTTGCTCCTAGTATACCGGCTTTAAGAACGCGTTTCGACGAACTCATTTTTTTTTTTTTCTAACGAACTTGTAGGTACAGTAGCATAGTATATGCATAAAGTGTAGAATCGATATTCGTCGCCAAAATGTATGCCGATAAAAGGCGTGAAAATACAGTATTATTTTGCAAGTAATAAAAAAATTAAATAAAAAAAAAAAAAAAAATGCAACTTTTTGTTATTGAAAATTATACATATTAAAATAAATAGAATTTATTTTATTATTAGTTTTGTCTAAATGCACGACACAATTTGCACCTTTCGTGTTGAAATATTCATACAATCCGTAAATAAAAAGTCGATTTCATATATTTAGATAGTATCTATCATTTTATCATTAATATAGTCTAAACGCACGACACCATTTGCACCATTCGTGTTGAATAT